CAACATAAAAAGAAAACGCAGTCAAGAAAATGAAAAGCAAAATACATAACTATTGAAAGGAGAATGGAGAGTACAATGATGAATCCTTGTGGTTTGGTTCGGTTTTGCTAATGAAGATCGAACACTACAAGAAATACTTCTTATTAGCGGCGAGACGCTTTTAGCGGCAACATCTAACTTTTGTGTTACATGTCACCGCTAAAGGCGGTCATAGCCGCTAATGGTTAAAAACCACGATACGCGTCAAAGGTTGTGTTTAACCCCTATATGTTCGATATGGCCCTAATCCAACGGCTGGAAATGAATATTACACATAGTAATAGCGGCGACTTCAATGGCGGCGACATCAGTCGCCGCTAATGCTCGAAAAATATACGTAGTAGAAGTTCCCTCCAGTGGTGTCGCTGCTAAAACGCTATCGTCGCCGCAAAAACGGCGCGTCGATGTCACCGCTAATACATGTCGCTGCTAATGCGTTGCGTAGATATACCCTCGTCTTTGCCACTTTCCTGTCTAGCTTCTGTCTTCTGTGTGTTTTTTTGCTCTTCTGATTCGACGACCACGTCCTCTATCACCGGAGATCGATTAGATTTCCGATCACCACAACACATTTATCACCGGCCACGACTAGGGGATCACCAGCGATAGAAGCAGCGTCATCGGCGACATTTCATACCCACTGAACGAAAAAAGGTCCTCCGCCCTCTATTCTCTTTCTCTTCTCTCCGGTAGCAATGTAGTGAGTTTGAGACCTTGAATTTTGTGATTTGAGTAGTGTTGACCGGAATTTCCTCGTATCCAACCGTCTTTGCCGGAATTCTGCCGCCACAGCACCACCATTCTGGTTTTGTTCCACCACAGGTTCTATTCCATTTCTAGAACGATTTTCTTTCGATTCTTTATATTGATATTGTATGTGATTATAATGTATATGTATAAATGTAACAAGACTATTTAATTTCAAAATCTCATATATATAGATATATATATATAATATATATATTATATATATATATATATATATATATATATATATATATATATTGGTTGTAGTTTGATATGAGGGTTTTTGTAGTTTGGTAATTGTTAGTTTGGTAATAATTTCAAATGTTGGTAATTGTTAGTTTGTAATAGTTTATATGTTGATAATTGTTAGTTTGGGTTATAGTTTGATATATTGGTATTTTGAGGTTTGGTAATTGTTAGTTTATGAAAGTACAATGCTATAATGGACATGCTTATAAGACTATGTTGTTTTCTTTGTAGTTGGACATGCTTCAAACCATGTTAAAAGACCTAACATGTAGTGTCGCACATGAAGAATGGTTTTGTTTGTTGCCACAACGAAATGAAAACGGAGGAAACGAGGAGAGCGGTGATGAAGAGTAGCTACTTTTAGGTTTTTTGTAATGTTTTGTTTGTGTTAGTATTTTCGACTAGTATTTTGGATATTTTGCATTATGTTTGGATGAGTATTTTGGACGGATGTAGTTTGGATTAATATTTTGACGTATATATTATAAATTTTAGTATTTTGGATTGGATTAATATCACGCAGGATTTATACTTTTTATACGGTTTTTTTCTAATTTTAATGCTAAACACAAAAAAAAAAAAAGGAAAATACATTTAGCGGTGACGCTTTTAGTGGCGACGTGCGTGTATTATCGGTGATAGACCTTTAGCGGCGATGAAAGAAATTAGCGGCGATGGGGAGTATTTATAGCGACGCCGAAAGTATTAGCGATGAAGCATCTGTGGCGACGTTTTAGCGGTGATGGGTCGCTACTAAAGGTATTAGCCGCGACATTCCAGACTTTTTCCGGGCACGCTTGTCGCCGCTAATACTGTCTATTCTTGTAGTGGAACTGAAAAACACAGAGAATGAAGCAAGAGAGGATGGTGGAGGATGATCGGAGACGCAGTGGGGGGGCAGCAAGAGGCATCGTGAACTGTAGGTGTGAGCATTTGGACCGGACCTGTTGAGATTTACCTTGTTCCCGGTTCTTGGACATAGGCTGAGCATTTGAACTGGATCAGGCCGATTTTGCAGAAGTTGGGGGACCTTGGATGGGACATGTTGAAGCTTACCAGGTCCAAGGTCCATGTCTAGGTCAGGTGTGTTCAGGAGGTCCAAATACTCACCCTGTGAAGTAGAAAGAAAAGAGCGAAAGAATCTGAAATATTAGGGCAGGGCAAAAGTGGTATACACGTCCCTTTTTTTAAATTCGCCTCTACACATTTTATAAATTAAAAGACATAAACTACACAAAAAGGAGTTTTAAAGTTTCATTTGACATGACACTAATTTTAACTGGTTAACTTTTTAAAAAGTTTGATAAATTACTTTAAAACACAATCCAAACTCCCCTTTTAAAATATATACAAGTATTGCGTAATTTTGTTACGTGTCCCTTTAATAAAGATTAAAGGATTAACAATCACTATCTTTATCATTCGATATTCCATAATGTTAAATTGACACTTTTATACCAATATCCAATAATAAAATATCACTATACAGTTTTGTTAAAGAACATGTTTTCTGACGATATTCTAACCAATTTATACAAATTCACAATATTCTTTATCAATATCTTCAGACCATCGCCAACAATTCCATACTTTATCATTTTGGTTAAGATTTGGTTTTATTTTTTCATATTCATTGCCTATTAACATATACACATCTTTTATGGGTTTTTGGTCAATTTGCACATTTAATCACTAAAGTTTTTTTTGTGCTCAATTGATCCTTAATGTTAGTAAATACCGGCTAATTACCCCCTTATGCACCTTATGCACCTGGGAAACGGAACAACCGGTGGTATTGCTTATGTGGAATAAGTTTACATTATATATGTCATTTATTTTATCCACGTAGGATTTAGAAGTCAAAATAAACACATTTATTTAGCCAGAACACTCCTTCGCTCTTCCTTTTTCTCATCTTACAGTGAATACGAAGCACTAAACCTAGGGTTCGAAGTCGTTTTCTCCGATCGAAGTCAGTGAGCAGTCAACCAACCCACAATGTCTAGCTCGAGGCCAAACCCTGATGGACTCCACCCTATAGTGGAGCTGAACTTCAAAAGTGTTTTTCTTAGAAATCCTTTCTCGTATAACCATGGTATCAACTTCACTTTTAATGATCACGATTTTTCTGGAATGACATGCGGTGAATGTATCACCTTTCTCGAACGGTTCATGCAAGAAATTATAAAGAAGTTATACTATTGTGAACCAGGTAAGCCCTTAATATCTGGGATAACTGTTATCGCTAATGATGAAGACTATGGTGGTTTCATTTTTCAAGCATATAGGACAGATGGTAAAATTTGTATGTATGTGGACCATGATGGTCAAAGAATAGAAGATTGGTTTGGTTCTGAAATAGATGAGGAGGATGGAGATGATTCATGCATTGATGGTGGTGAGAATGAGGAAGAAATTGATAACCTAACAGATGTGGATGTGGACTTTAATGAGGGCATAGTCACTATGAATAGGACAAAGGGTGATGAATTTCTAAATAGATTATGTGGCGAATAGGAGGAGGGAAATGATAACAACATAGTTGATAATAATGATGGGCGTGAAGAGGATGCCAATGTAACTCAACAACATTACATTTTTAATGAGTTAGTTCCATGGAAAAAGCAGTTCCCAATACTTGGTATGAGGTTCAAAGATCCATCTCAATTAAAATCAATGTTATGCAACTATGTTGTTGCGAATGGGTACCAACTTTGCTTTGAGAAAAATGATAGGAAAATCTTGTTAGTTAAGTGTTGCAAGGGTGAGTGCACATTCAGGTTGTGGGCATCTTGGATGAGTGATGAATCAAGCTTCCAAATTAAGTCTTTAAAGTCAGTCCACAAATGTGCAAGGAACTACAAGTTAGGGTCTATGGTCACTTATGCTTGGATAGGGAGTCATTATACAAGAGAGTTCTTATTTAGACAAAAGATGAGTGTTAGAAAGCTAAGAACAGTTGTGTCACAGAAGTTTGGTATTCATGTTAGTGTTGGTCAATGCAAGAGAGCTAAGAAATATGCACTCTAACTAATAGATGGTACCCTAGTTGAACATTATGCAAAGTTATGGTCGTATGCAGAAGAGATTAGGAGATCCAATCCAGGTAGCACTGTGAAGCTTGATGTAAATCATATGCCAGATGGGAAGAACTACTTTAGTAAGCTCTATGTTTTCTTTGATGCATTGAAGAAGGGGTGGAAGGAGGGATGCGGGAAGATAATAGGTTTAGATGGTTGTTTCCTTAAAGGGATCTGCAAAGGGGAGTTATCATGTGTTGTTGGAAGGGATGCAAACAATGGGATTTATCCTATTGCATGGGCAGTAGTATGTGTGGAGAATAAGGAAAATTAGAGGTGGTTTTTGGATTTACTCATTGATGACTTGGGACTTAACTTAGGCTATGGATACAGTGTAATATCGGATCAACACAAGGTAATTTAATTGTTTGTAATTAATTTCCCTATCTACTTGCATCCTTATTCACTATATTTGGATTTTTTAACAGTGTTTGATTGAGGCTGTGAAAGAACTCCTTCCATATGTAGAGCACATGCAGTGTGCCAAGCATATTAGCCAAAACCTTAGGAAAAGGTATAGTGGTGACCAATATGAAAGCATATTCTGGAAGGCATGTAAAGCAACAACAGAGGTAGATTTTAAGGTTTCCATGAAATAGCTTGAAGTGATAGACCCAAGTGCTTATCAGTATCTGATGGACAAAGACCCTAAAACATGGTCAAGGGCCTACTTCCAACCAGGAAGATGTTGTGATGTTGTGGAGAATGGAATGTCAGAAAGTTTTAATGTTGTGATTGTTGATGCTAGGAAGAAGCCAATTATCACCATGCTAGAGGAGTTGAGGATGTATATGATGGAGAGGGTGTTCAACAAGAAAAGCAAGGGTCTAGGACGGGGCAACCAAATTTGTCCAACAATTAGAGAAATAGTGAATGAGATTAAGAATGGTCTTAAGACATTACCAAGTTTTACCTAGTGGACTAAATCAGTTTGAAGTAAGAGGAACTACAGATGCTTATGAGGTGGATCTTGAAGAAAGAACTTGCTCATGCAGGCTTTGGCAGCTTAATGGAATCGGTTGTGTCCATTCTGTTGCAGCTATTAGTTTTATGAATAGGGATGTGGAGTCATATGTGGACAAAATGTTTAGTAGCATCACTTACATGAAGGCATACAAGTTTAGGTTAGCACCTATGAATGGAAGGAATTTGTGGCCTACAACTGATTACACCCCAACTTTACCTCCTGTTCATAGAACTATGCCTGGGAGACCTGCAACAAAAGGAAAAGGGATGCAACAGAAAACCCAAACCAGTCAAGTAAAAATCAAAGAAAACTACCCAAACACAAAACAAAGGTAAGGAGCAGGTGAAGGTATCCAAGGCTGGGAAAAAACAAAAATGTAGCCTTTGTAAGATTGAAGGACACAACAAAAGAGCTTGTACTTTGACAAGGTCTCCTAAAATCAAAGCTAGAAGAAAAACAAAACAGGTAAATAAGTATTTAAATGGTTAATCTTTACAGTTTCTTTTTAAATTTCGAATAATGTTTCTTATTGGTCATTCAGGGTGTAGCCGAAGCACTCAATGAGGATGATGAAGGTAATCAAGCTAATGCAATGAATGAAGGTGATGAAGTGCATGAGGGTGATCAAGCAGTAAATGATGATGGAGGAGGAGTAAATGATGGTGGAGAAGCAGTCAATGAGGTGCATGTGCAACAAGAATATGATGAGGTGGAACTCACTCCTTTGGATTTTGATGCATCAGCAAATGGAGAACCTAGTCAGGTTCATGTGCAAGAACAGGAGGCTAGAGAAACACCAGTTGCAACCTTGTTGAAGAAAATCAGGAGGAAGAAATCTGAAAGGGTTATCAAGTTGAAGTTGGGCAAGAAAGTTGGTGGTGCAGATGCACCTGGGAATTCAGAAGCTAAACTTGTTACTCTAGAATAACTTTAAGTGTTGGTTTATGTGATATGAACATGGTATGTAGTGTGAAATGATGTGTTTTGGTGTATTGTTGCTATTTTTATGAAACTGCTATTAACTATGTTAGTTTGTATGAAACTATGTTGGTTTATGTGATGTGTATTTTGTGTTAAATAAGTTGGTTGTTATTTTGAGCTTTTTGTTGTGTTTATTTGAAGTTGCATGCATGACAAGGACTTGTCTGGTTAAACTGCATGGAAAGGGAATATATTTGCATATATAGATAATTTAAAATTGTCATTGATTATGTCCTTATATACCACGTGTGGTTAGTGGTCCATATACCCTTACTAACCCTTACTTTTCCATATATACCCATGCACAGAACTCTAAACACAATGCACTTTTAAGTGGACCAAGTGAGTTCCTTATGGCCGACAATGTGGTACCCACACTTTAATTTTTAAAAGGAGCACATGCATATTATAAAATTTAGCAAGGTATATCACAACTAGGATCTTTCATATCATTCATTGAATCTACACAAAGTCATTACAATTGTTCCCATGTACTGCCATCCCATTACATCTAACATCCCATACACACACTGATCAAACAAGCATTCAACCAAAAACTTGACTATACATTACAACTAGGATCTAACCATGACCATGTACCCATACACCCATACACCCATACACTTACCAAAAAAGAAAACTTTTAACATCCACCCATACACTTTCTGATGAGTTGAAAAACTCTTAGATCGATTAGATCTTCAACAGGCTAAACAATAAAAGCAAACAAACACAATAAACACGATATAGAATCAAGTAATGCTTAATGATTCAAATGTAGTCACGCCTCAGCAGAGCTCGTTGAAGAACTTCCACTGTAGAGGCGAGCTAGGGTTTGTAATACAATAATAAGAATAATAATTCAAGCGCTAACAATAAAGGATGCATGCATGCACCTTAAATACTAAACCCTAATAAAATAAACACGGTTGGACAGGCCCAAACCGGATAACAAAACTGGGCTAAGGACCGAGCCCAAGGACGCAACCCTACTAGACCCAACAACCTCCCCCTTTGCGTCAAATGGGGGGAGACTTCACTTCGGTGGAGGTTGAGAAGTTCGCTTCACAACCTTGAACAATTTTGGAATGATGCCAAGAAGAGTTTGTCTGAAAGCCATATACCACCGAAGCATATCTAAGAACAGCTTCTTGTCTGCTGCACTATTTTGATCACATCCATGGATAAGCTCAAGAATATGCTCCAAACAGGAATTGGAGAATAGATGTTTGTCAGCCAGAGGAAATAAGCATCTTTGACCTTCGCCTCTAAGAAACATTACAGTGTGACTTTGGATCAATTTTTCCCTTCACCATCAGCTTAGTGTCACCAGCCTTCCCAACAGGCTTGATTAAGGGCCTCTTGCGTATAGCAGTGGCAATCTCCTGATCCATCTTCGCCACTTCATGAATGTAACACACTAGCATACGCTTGATGTGATCAATGATGGGCTCATATTCTTTCTGATTGGAGAGTAGGATGTTGTTCATAAGAATCCAATCGTGTGGATTCAGATTTGGCAGATCAGCAAGGGAAATCATATGGACCGAACCATCTGATCCTCGGGTCACATTGAACTTGATGTTAATGAACTTCCCTGCTGCAGTAGGTTTCAGCACCTTAATTGTTGTGATCTTCTTGTTACTCCAGGTAAGGTACTGAGGTTGAGAGAATTCATGATAATATTCAAGCAAGTCTTGATCAACCTTCGGGTCAGGAGAAGGAACCGCCACTGTAGACTCGAAGCAGTGAAAGATGAAGGCTCTACGAGTGATTGGCATGTCAAATTGAGAATCTTTAGAATTCTCGACATTAAATGAAAGAACGGGCTCCAGCCAATGTGAACTTGGAGTTTCAATAACCTCCTTTCGTAGCCTTTCCAACGTCCACAGAGGAAACATCGATTTCCTCTGGTTAAGCAGATTCGCTTCTCTCTTCTCATTCTCCTTATTAAGGGCAGCAGTGACTTTTTCCTTAATCTCTTGAGCAGTGGGCTTGGCTTTGAGAGGACTAGGTTTAGGAACCATTTCTTCAATAACAACATCATCCTCATCATCAGTATCATCAGCAATTCCTTTTCCCCTATCCTGCATGCCCGAACCCGAAGCTTCTTTCCCCTTCGATTCAGTAACCACCTTCGGTTGTTGTGGTTTCGGTTTCAGTTGTTGAGGGTTTGGTTGATTTGGTTTCAGTGGTTGAGATGAAGACTTCGGCTCTTCTCCCCCTTGTTGCGGAGAGACAACGGACTCCAGAACACCCTCTATCCGGCTTAGAATATCCAGAGCAGGCCGTAACTTCTCAGCCAAATGACGTCGAACCGAGATGGTAAGAACGGAATCGTAGGCTTCAAGAAGATGAAGGAGAATAGAGTGAACATCACCAACAGAGCTTTTAACCACAGACCGCTCCGAACGTGGAGCTTCAAGTTCCTTGTTCGCTTGATTAAGCTTGAGAGTCTGGGTTTTGAGTTGAGTGGTCCTCAGAGCAAGTGCATCCATCACTTTGTTTTCCAAGGCAAGATCTGCCTGAAGTTTATTCAAAAGTTCAGAGACAGAAGCTTGATGTTTGATGTGATCAGAGGTGAGGTCCTTGCGAAGCACCTCAAATAGCTCTTTCTCTTGTTGAAGAGATTGAGTGAGGGACTTAACCGAGGCATTGACCTTGTTAGCATTCTGCTCTGCAGCTCCCTGTAAAGATTCAAGTAAATTGTTTGCGTTAGAAATTAGTTTATCGACTTTTTCGGTCGCCTCCGTGCAAACTTTTGTTGAAGCATCAATAGCGGAAGTGGCTTTGGTGATGGAAGCTTCGTGTTCCTTGACCCAGGTGGCCATCAAGCCTTTTATAGCAGACTCAGAAGAGGAATCCTGAGTAGAGGAGGAGGCCATCAGCTTATCTAGCTTCTCATTCAGCTCCTTGAGATGGCGCTTGGTGACAGGGGCATCATCATCATCGTCGCTTAGCACCCTGTAGGGACTGTAGTAGAAGGTGTCATAATCAACATTTTCACCACCAAGAACGGTATTGGTCTCTGTCGATTGGGTAGGTGATGGAGGTTTGGTAGTAACAGGGGTTTCGGGTGCTGAAGTACGAACCCCCGTATCAGATACGTTGGTCTGAACTCCAGTGGTGGTTGTTGTTGTAGCTTCAGAGAAAATAGGTGTAGGAATGGGAATGGTAGAGGAAGGTTGAGATGTGATTATTGGGAAAGTGGGAGGTAAGGAAATAGGAATGGAAACAGGTGGAGGAGAAGGTGCTTGGGAGCGAACATGTACCTCTGGTGTAGGCGAACGAGGTGGTGTACCACCACGAGCCGAACCTTCATCATCTGAGCTTTCGCTCTCAGATTCGCTAGGAATGGTGGGTTGATGACCAGTAGGCACGTACTCGGAGTCGGAGTCGCTTGATGATTGAAGAATAAGCTTCCGAGCAGGTTTCTTGACCTTCTTCTGCTTGGGCTGGGAAGGTGCTGCCTTCTCAGACTTTCGCTTCTTTGGAGTCTGAACCTTTGATACTCGACCTCCTTTATCCCCCTTTTTCGCTTCTTGCTTCTTGCCCCGCTTAGCAGGTTTGTCTGCTTCCTCAATAGATTTTATCATTTCAGGAGTAAGTTCCCTTGGACCAGAAGAGGGGAGCTTCTTGTACTCCTGAATAATCTTGCTCGCAGGGGACACACAAGCATACATTGACTCAGGAATTGAGCCAACGAAGTGAAACTTCGACGGATGAGTGACAATGATGTTAGTGGTATGAAATGTAGCAATGGAGGAGAGCAGTGAGTCTGCCATGATAGGAACATGATAACGCTCCATAATCTATTGAGTGATAATGGTCCAAAACTGGGCACATGAAATTTCTGTGTGGCGAGAAGCAGATGACAAACTTTGGACAAGTTGAAGCCACAAAACCAAACCATAATCAAGGTTGACACCATGGTACAACTCATAAAGCAGAGTCATGAAAGACTTGCTATCACCATCAGATCCTGCACTTCGTTCTGAAAGTCCTTTGAAAAGAAGGGTGAAGAGGCCATCCCATTGAGGAGGAAGGTATGATTTCTTGAACTTGGTCATAGTAGTTAGGGTTTCAATGTACCCCATGTTGTAGAACATTGAGAAAAGCTGACCTGTGGAGATGGAATCAGGATTCACCATGGATTCGTCATAAGTGAGCCCTAGCAACGAGCAAAATCGACTCTTGGAGATTGAAGCCTTCTGGTTGAGAATGTCGAAGTAAATCTTCTCTGCCCCTTTGTCGTATGTAGCAGTGGAATAGATTTGAGAGAGGCATGACATTGGTACGACTTCCACCGTCGATAGAGCTTTGATGAGTGGGGAATACTTTAGACATTCCACCACTTGATACATGTAAGTATCGTAGAGGAACGGTGTAAGATCGATCAACAAGTTGTGGTTGGCCTTGATTGCGAGAAGAGTGGAGCGTGCAGAGGTTTCTTGAACAGAGGAAGATTCTGCCATTGTTGAAGCTTGATGAAGAAGAAGATGAACAGTGAATACTAAATCGCCTTCTTTTGCTTGAGAGAGATGAAGTGTTGTAGAGAAGAATCCCACAGAAATCAATCCCTTATATACGATTTTGAAGAGAGAGAAAAATCGCGAGCAATGATTCCATTAATTTGGGAAACGACGCCTAAAAAGGCGTGATTGGACAACTGGCAACCCCGATAAAACAGCTGATGACGCATGATTAGGTAACGATTCAAATTCACACGCTTTTCCGTACTTATCCTCTTTCCAAATCACCAATTGATTAGACTTCCTGCTGTGTCACCGCTTAAACCTTCAATCGAATCTTTATTACCATAATTACCAAAGGCTTTATACCAACGCATCCCTTCGTTTGGAAAGAATTGCATTACATCGTTAGGAACCGAAGCTATATATTTATGAATAGCTTAAACAAGACTTTTGGAAAATTCAAGATTTTCGT